CACACACACACACACACACACACACACACACACACACACACACACACCTTTTGTTCTGCCGCTACTCCAAATAGTTCTTCACTGTAGGGCTGGGCAATGAGTCGATACCATATTGATGTTGTGACATGAGACTAGAGACCGTCTCAGATTTTGGATATCGTAACAAAAATAGCATAAGTGTTCTTTTTTACAAATTTTAAAGGTTGCATTACAGCAAAGAGACCATTTTATTATTTGCCTTTAACCACTTAGTCATTATATCTACATTAATGATGGTTATTTATCAAAAACATTGTGTAAAATGTTATAAGAGGCACCGGTGGTCAACCCGACAATATCGTCATAATTCGGTAAAAAGAAGGTGATATTTGATTTTCTTGTAATCGTGCAGCCCTTATTAATGTTAAGAGATAAAAGCCTCACTACTGCAATGCAACGGAGCCAAATAGGACTTTTAACAGTGGCAAAACATTACACACTGTAGTGTAACCAGCAGGATTAGAGGAGGGTGATGGGTTTGAACGTGTAAGGCTCGACCACAGCAGTAATGAGACTCTCAAAAGCTACATGCCAAGTAAAGAGACTCAAAAATGAGGCAGAGATTCAAAATAAAATTCCACACTGCCAACATGTCAGCGCTGGAGAAGGCTGTAAAGACTAAGGAGCACGAGACTTGAATGTTTATGATACAACTTATTAGTGAATTAGAGTTCTCTCCAACTGCTGTTAGCAAGGACGCACCTTTGTTGCAGGAGTTGAAGTTGGTCTGTCCGTGAGTCTTCAGGTGGCTGGTGATGTAGGCTGCGCTGAGCATCTTCCCACAGATGCTGCAGGTGACCTTGCCTTCATGCCTGATCATGTGGGAACGGAGTCGGTCTTTGGTGGCGAAAGCAGAGGTACAGGCCTGCAGGCGCATAGCAGAAGAGAGCAGGGGTCAAAGGTCAGCGGAGTACAGCAACAACGCCATTAACGATCATCTCGTAGGAGGACAGAAAGGACTCTTACCGTGACTTGACACTTAAATGGTCTTTCTGAGGAATGCACATGCTTCACATGGCAGCTCAAGTGGTCTGGCCTGGATTGAATCAAAAACAAAACAAACACATTTAATGTTCGAAAGCGATTCAGCGACCTCCGGGAGTTGTAGATGTTGTTTTGATTCCGTGCACTCTTTGAAGCACAGAATGTTTAAGTTGACAATGTTTCCACTTCCAGAAAAATGTACCGCTAAAGAAGCAGATCATATCGATTCATGTGGATATTTGAAAGTAGTTATTTCCTTTAACTATTAACCCATAAACTACGGAGGATTTCTTTATATACAGTAGATACAGAGAGCAACCCCCAACTTGAAGACAATATTATGTTGTCTGCTACAGATGCCTCATTAGTGTGATAACAATGCTGTCCTTTCTAATTACACCAGAAGTCATTAGCAGTAGACCAGTGAAGAGAGATAGATAGATAGATAGATAGATACAGTTGTGTGAAAAAGTGTTTGCCGCCTTCCTGATTTCTTTGCATGTTTGTCACACTTAAATGTTTCAGATCATCAAACAAATTTAAATATTAGACAAAGATAACACAAGTAAACACAAAATGCAGTTTTTAAATGAAGGTTTTTATTATTAAGGGGAATAAAAAATCCAAACCTACATGGCCCTGTGTGAAAAAGTGATTGCCCCCTAAACCTAATAACTGGTTGGGCCACCCTTAACAGCAACAACTGCAATCAAGCATTTGCGATAACTGGCAATGAGTCTTTTACAGCGCTGTAGAGGAATTTTGGCCCACTCATCTTTGCAGAATTGTTGTAATTCAGCCACATTGGAGGGTTTTCGAACATGAACCCAAGTGCGCTTCAGCTTGTGGTCACGAACAGATGGCCGGTCATTCTCCTTCAGGATTTGTTGGTGGACAGCAGAATCCATGGTTCCATTTACCACAGCAAGTCTTCCAGGTCCTGAAGCAGCAAAACAGCCCCAGACCATCACACTACCACCACCATATTTTACTGTTGGTATGATGTTCCTTTTCTAAAATGCCGTGTTACTGTTACGCCAGATGTAACGGGACATACACCTTCCAAAAAGTTCAACTTTTGTCCCGTCAGTCCACAGAGTATTTTCCCAAAAGTCTTGGGGATCATCAAGATGTTTTCTGGCAAAACTGAGACAAGCCTCTATGTTCTTTTTGCTCAGCAGTGGTTTTCGTCTTGGAACTCTGCCATGCAGGTCATTTTTGCCCAGTCTCTTTCTTATGGTGGAGTCATGAACACTGACCTTAATTGAGGCAAGTGAGGCCTGCAGTTCTTTGGATGTTGTTCTGGGGTCTTTTGTGACCTCTTGGGTGAGTCGTCGCTGCGCTCTTGGGGTAATTTTGGTCGGTCGGCCACTCCTGGGAAGGTTCACCACTGTTCCATGTTTTCGCCATTTGTGGATAATGGCTGTCACTGTGGTTTGCTGGAGTCCCAAAGCTTTAGAAATGGCTTTGTAACCTTTTCCAGACTGATATATCTCAATTACTTTGTTTCTCATTTGTTCCTGAATTTCTTTGGATCGCAGCATGATGTCTAGCTTTTGAGGATCTTTTGGTCTACCTCACTTTGTCAGGCAGGTCCTATTTAAGTGATTTCTTGATTGAGAACAGGTGTGGCAGTAATCAGGCCTGGGTGTGGCTAGAGAAATTGAACTCAGCTTTCCAAAGATGTGATAAACCACAGTTAATTTATGTTTTAACAGGGGGGGCAATCACCTTTTCACACAGGGCCATGTAGGTTTGGATTTTTTTCCCCCCTTAATAATAAAAACCTTCATTTAAAAAATGCATTTTGTGTTTACTTGTGTTATCTTTGTCTAATATTTAAATTTGTTTGATAATCTGAAACATTTAAGTGTGACAAACATGCAAAAAAATAAGAAATCAGGAAGGGGGCAAACACTTTTTCACACAACTGTAGATAGAGATAGAGATAGAGATATATATAGAGATAGATAGATAGATAGATAGATATATATATATATATATATATATAGGGGTAATTTTTTGTAACTTTGCATTTACTTTGCTTGTGATTTGACTGGAGATACAAAGACTAAAGGTGTATATTGTTAACTGACGAGGAGCAGCACAAGTGAAATTCACAACTTCTCCATACATTGCGAGTGCAGAAGTGCGGAAGCTTATGGCTGCGCTCTGTTTGCTCTGGTAATGAGGGAATGGGCACAAAAAAGAAAGAAAGAAAATCCCTAAAACTTCAGTCAACTGCATTTAATTCTCCATGATCAATCGTGCGTGAATCAGTTTGACCTAGTTTTTACAAACGCACCACACTTGCCTTGATTTTAATTACACAAATATAAATGTAGTCCACAAAGTTAATTCAACTTCATCAATGCAATGGAGGGGTTGAATTATGCCTCAACAACCGTGGTGCTGAATGACCTTTTAGATTGTCACGGAATAAACAAATGCATTAATCTCTTTTGCATATTACTTGCTTTTGCACTGAGCTTTGCATCATGAAACCAGTTTGATAACTCTCTTAACACTTGTTTATTTCTTTCACAAATGTGTCATCAACATGTATTATGTAGCTTATACACATTAAAAATGACAAATGGATGAAAAACAACCCCGAAAAATACGGAATCCTAAAAAGTCTTTGTACAAATACTGCTGTTGACCTGAAGGTTAAACATTCCGTTTTTCACAGCATAATTCAATGTCCACTGCATATCAGCAGTTGCTAGAAAACGTCTCTATGCCTCTTGACCTTTACAGTGAATGCTCCTTGGCACCGGTCCTCCTCTGTCAGCTTGTTGGTTCTGTTGAAGCTCGGAGCTGAATCATGTTAGAAGTGCCATAACGGAGTGAGTAAGGGCTCCAGCTTTGGCAGCCCAAACCGGAAAGTTTCATGCTGCTGGGTTTGTTTTTTTGTTTTTTTATAAATACAAATGAGGAGTCAAGTGGAATCTTCTCAGTGGTGCTATGAACCGGAATCAGTTCTCTCTCTCTCTTTCGTGTATTTTTTTTTGTCCCGCTGACGAGGAGAGCAGTCTCCAGACAGTACGTGCCTGCATATCTGGCTGAGTGGCAGTGACTCAGTGCCCTGTTATTCAGTCCCCATTCTCACTTTCCAGTATGCTGATGAATCCCGAACCCCACGTCACCGTGTTGGAGGCATGCCTGAAGCTGCCCTGCACAGCGCGGTGCTTATGTTACAGCTTGGCTACGGTGCACCGCTGAATGTTTGTTGAACTTGTGTGGTGCGGTTAAAGCAAAGAACTCTTTCTGTTGTTGTACTCTGCCCAAATCGATGCTGTGTCACATATTGGCACGTTAAAAGACAGTAAAATGTAGTTTTTTTGTGTGTATTAACGCAACGAGAGACCTTTCCTAAACTAAACATTTATTCCCTACACAGTGAATATGTTGACCTGGAGATTACCGCATAGTTCACTGAATTCCCAGGGGAAAGAGCGTCTGTGACATGCTGGCGGGAAGCACAAAGTGACAAGTGACGCCTCCCCCCCTCCCCCCTTTGTAATCTACCACTGGTGCTCTCCCATGTGCGACTGTTTAAACATGTGGTTGAAATGGCGTTTGGGGGGGGGGGGGGTCAATACAAGTACAAATCCAAACCTCTTTGCACGATCATAATAATACGTAGAATAATCCAAACAGTCACGGGGTTGCTACAAGAAACGGGGGTCGCTGCTCAGTGAGCTTTTGGAGAAGTCAGGAAAAAAAAAAAAAAAAAACAGAAACATGAAAACGCAACAAAAGCTCATTTTTGGACTGACGAGTAAACGGTAAAAAGGTGTGTTTGTTAGAAAATGTTGCTCATCGTGTTATTATTTATTTATTTATTTTTTTACTTCTGTGCAGACAAGCTAAGACTTTCCTCTTTGACCCCCGGTATGCAACCGTTGCATACCGGGGGTCAAATGACTCTCCGTCTCCACTAACATCAGAATAAATTAGATGTCAGAGGCATACTTCCTGTTTACAAAAGCCGTCAAAATTTTGAAATGACAGCATATGAATAAACTAGCTGTGCAAACAGGTCCTCACATACACATAGAGAGAGTTCCACTGGCAGAGCGTAACGCGCCGACACTCACAGTCCGACACACGTTGCACTTCAGACACATCCCAAACAATCCGGTGGAGACCACTTCCTGTTACGCTAACGGGAGTCCGAGGCCGCACTGGGCCGCACTCGAGAAGCAGGTTTACTGAAGTAGTTGGATAACTGCAGTGAATAAAACTTAAAAATCGCTTCAGTTTTCTCTGCATTTGAAAAGAACTAAATGTCAAAGTATTTTCTTAGCTAATCACCAACATATTAGTGGAAGTTTAGGCCACTTCAAGGCCACTTGAAAAGCCTGTTAATGAACTGTGTCGTGTGGTTCATTGTTTTTACATTATGCTTCTTCTAAGAGGGAACATAACAACTTATTCCAGGACCTCAGGAGCTATATGAGGAATGTACAAAGACATTTGAAACGGGTAATGTTATCTCCCCATAAAATCTGTTGCCAGCACTGCGCAGAGTTCGCCGGTCGGACTCCCTATGACAAGTCTGTGTGGCAGCATGAAGGAGTAATATGTTCACATTTGACATGAATTAATTTCACCCTTTTCACTGTTGAACTATCAGTACAAAATATGGACACTGTTAAAGGTATGTTTTTCTGGAAGGAATAGCTTTGGAGAGCTGTTGAATAACCAACATGTGGAAAAATGCTTTTCTATCATTATTATAAAACATTTTAGTCTTATTATCATACCAGTGCTTGCTTGTCATTAGCATTGCCTACAGAAATACTGCAAGTGACCATTGTTTCCATTTGAGAAACGCCACCTGAGTAACGGTCACAACAGGATAGGATGTCTGTTCAAAACATGTTTTGAGTCAATCAAAAGGCCAAAGAATGTGGTCCTTACCTGGAAAAGCCTTTCCCACACACCGAGCATACATAGGGCTTGTGGACCCCCCCGTCGTGAGAGCGAACGTGGTAGGTCATCCGGTCCTTCCTTTTAAAGCGCTGCTGGCAGATGGGGCACTCGAAAGGCTTCTCGTCTGAATGGGACAGCTTGTGGCGGTTCAGGTGGTAGACGTCTCGGAAGGCCTTGCCGCACATCTCGCACCCGTGGTTTTTCTTGACGGGTTTGGCGGGCTTCTTCGGCACGTTCTGCTGCTGCTGCTGTTGTTGTTGCTGCTGCTGTTGTTGCTGCTGTTGCTGCTGCTGCTGGTGGTGCTGCTGCTGCTGTTGTTGTTGTTGTTGTTGTTGTTGCTGCTGTTGTTGCTGGTGCTGCTGCACGTTGCCCATTGCGGATGACGTCATGATGCTCACACCCGAGGACACCGAGGTGGTCGCCGTGGAGAGGATGCCCGCCACCGTGGAGATGTAGGACGGGTGGCCGTTGTTCTCCCGCGACATGGTCGAGATCATGGGCACCATGGTCGGGGCCGTCTGGGCCATCTTCTTTGGCCGCGACACCATCTTGATGCCGGTGTGGCTGGACTCGTGGCGTCGCAGGTGGTAGCTGTCTCGGAAGGCCTTGTTGCAGTAGCCGCAGACGAACGGCGTCTTGCCCTTGTGCTCCTTCTTTATCACAGGCACTAGCGGCCGCCCGCCTCCTCCGCTGGCCACATTGTCTTTGAGGAGATCTGCGGCGCTGGTCGGGGGCTTGTGGTCTATGTGGATGGGCAGGATGGGCTTCTGGTCGATTTGTTCGACTCCTGCATTAAGAAGTGGCAGCAGGTTGTTCTGGGCCATGTGGTGCTGGTGGTGGAGGGCTTCATTGGCCTGCTGATGAAACAAAAAAAACACACATACAGCGATATTAATATTGGGGATTCAACGCAGTTGGAACACCCCACTGCCTTTCCAAAAGGCTGCATAAGAATTCACATAATAAATAATATTAAGTGGAGGTTTGTAAGGAGTCAGCTTTGGCAACAAAAGGTTAGGAAGATGTTACAGAAAGCAAAATGAGCAGCGGGTCTGTCATTAAAGAGGTTGACGCAGCATGCCACTGGTGCAAAAGAATCCAAATATACTGGATGAAAAACGATCCCATCACGACGGCGCCGGGCATGTGACTGCTAAGCAAGCGTGCCAAATTAGAGGCAAAGCAGAGTCCAGTGCTCGGAAGAGCAGGCCATTAGCTTAGCTAAGGAGCTCGGTTAGAGGGCACGGTGAAGTAAAGGACTGAAGTGCTCGCTCGCTCGCACACACGAGTTTGTCAGCTTAGGTTAGTTATGCTCTAACCAAGTTTAGAAGTTAGTCTAAATCTACATTTTGGGCCGGCACTGAGTTGTAAACACATAATCAACAAGAGGATATGTTAATGATAATCCATATTTCCTTGATGGTTCTTAATATTAAACCACAGCCAACGCTGTTGTTTTGGTAGACGGACACAGTCAAGACGACCGTGTCGCGAAACACCAGCAAGAGAGGGCACGGTGAAATGCTTGACCTTTCCCTTTGAGGTTCAATCATCCATCGCAGAAGGCCAGCCAAGAAAAAAAAAAAAATGAAAAACAAACAAAAAAAAAATCAAAGGAGTTGCAGTAGAGGCGGCAGGGGACAGAAAAGAAAAATGAACCGCACAGTGTCCTCCTTATGTCATCCAGCCCATTGTGAGAGACACAAATCTGAGCAGTGATGCCTCAGCAGGGGATCTTTGTATGCTCATCTTCATTGATTTAGCTCATCTATTCATGAGACGGGGTCATTGTTTCTCCACACACACACACACACGCACACACTGCTCGGCTAAACTAGCCGTCATTCCCTCGTAACGCAATGGGACCTGGGAACTTGTGGAGAATGCCACTAAGCCCACCGATCCATTTGTCCGAGCACCTGCTCACGCTTGCCACCTTCCAGGATTAGTCATCATCATGCCAATGCAAACCCGTCCACTGGCACACCAGGTGGGCCCTTAGGAGGAGGGGGGGGGCTTTATGTTTGGGTGGGGTGGAGGGAGGGGGGATACCAGCCGGGATCCCTCTTTGTGGAGCTTGTGAACGGCAGACACGGCCGCTGCAGACAGCCCGCCTCTATACAGAGGTGCAGGGCCTGTAAGCTGCTGTGCCTTCATGCAGCTCTGACCATTTTGACACAAATGCGCTCTGACAACTGGGGCTGCTCCCTCATAAATAACATCAAAATGGAGGGAGTGCCCCGATGGCTCCACGGGCCACTGTAGACTTGAATTGAGCTCACGGTCTGAGTCAGATTACATCTTTCTCAGAGCTTTTGTGTCACACTCTACAGCTGCTTACCGAAATCCCTTTTTTTTGTAATGATTTTTTTTTTTACAAAACAAGCAAAAACTATAACTGATTAATAAAAAGTAAAAGGAATAAAGTGATCGCATATGGCAGGAAACATTTTTTTGTTCTTTTTCTGGCACACATGTAGAGCCTTCTCTTCAAAGCTTGTTCTAGGATGTTCTTCACTTGTTTACCAATTTCTGAAATCTTTTGGCTGCTACCCAGACGGCCGAGTTGACACAAGTTCCTACAAAACCGTCACTTTTGTAACGTTTGTAATCCTCCTGGATTGCTTTTCATAGCCTGTAAAGCTACACAAATACTGCAGGGATTCAGGGCCTCGCTTGCAAGTAAGAGGTATTCTCAGTCCTGCTGGGAGTTTTGATGCATCAACTCTTTCAGCTTTGACTGCATCATGCAGAAGGATGATAGAGGCCCTTTCTAAGCAACTCACCATGTCATCCTTCTATTAAAAAATACTTAAAATCAGTGATCCAAAACCAGGGTGCTGGTCTCTCTGATGTAGCTGATGTATGGCACAGAATAGAAGGATCACTTATCTTTTGGCATTTTGCTAGCGTGACCACCGCAGTTATAAGACGTAGTGTTGAGAACTTGGCTTGTCAAAGCAGTAAGAGCACAGGTGTTTCTGCTAACTGATTAAAATCGGCTGCATTCCATTTAGCTGAGCTTGTTCGAAGGGCTCCGGTGTTGTTCTAGAGCCGTGACAAAATGTCTAAAAAAAGATCTATTGTTAAAAACATGTGTAGAACACGGACGAGCAGTACAATACAAGAAACTAATTAAATATGTCCCACTTGCACTATTAAGCCGCAATTTCACAAAGATTGCAGAGTCGTTTTTTACTAAGTCTAGAAAAAAGCCTTTACTCTGTGACGAGGACTTAAAACTAAAGTTTACGACTGATATCAACTGTGAATTAAAGTACTTAGGTCCATTACAACAAACAGCCCATTTGAAGTTGCACTGTTTCAAGCCAACAAGCTATAATAAAAACCCACTGTACGCTACCTACTTAGCACCAAATGTCAAAGAGAAAGTTAGCGGTGAGCATGCTAAAGACTCAGGAGTTAGTGGAGAACAAACACGGGTAAAATATTGGACTACTGGCCATCGCCATTAATATTAATGAATGATAAATTTTGCTTCATGTTGCCTGGATTTTTGAGAAGGCAATTGTTTGCTATCACGTCAGCCATTAGTGGTTACGTATCGGTCAGCTTGACTTGAATGCGTTTCTGCCCCAAATGGAAAAATGATAAATGCAATTTCACATGTAATTGCAACACTTTTCTGATATCAAAACTGTCACTATGCTGAATGTAAATATCTAAAACACTTATATATATATATATATACATACATACATACATACATACATACATACACACACTTGATGTTTACTGTATTATGAAACAGATCTACACCAACAAAATGGCTCCCAACTGCAAGGTGCATTGCCGCAGCTATTTTTAAACTATGTTTATATGTTTTGCAGTGTGCTGTAAGGGGAATATTATTAGTTTAAGATGAGCCAATCATTTCACATTTTTAGTATGTGTCGCACCTGTTGAATGTAATTTTCTTTTAGACATTTGGGAAGTTGTCGGGCGGAATGAATGGATGCGAGGCACTTTCTTATAAATGTTTCTTTGTGCTATTATAATAGAGTTTATACAGTGTTTTTGTTCTTCATGCTGAATTTTCATGACATTGCACTGCGCATTAATCAAAAACAGGAGGCGAGGCAGCTGTACCGATTCCAGCTCATTTACACAACAATGTGGATCATTTAAAATGCCCGACAAAGTATACAAACAGGAAGATGCTCATCATCAACTTTTAATTTTAAACTTTTTAATAAAATGCTTTTCCATAAACAGTAACGCAGTAGAGTACTTTAAAACTAACAATAATGCAACGACTGCAACGGTAGTTAAATGGAAAATCGACCTCCTTACGTTGATAACTTCACGCATATTTACATGAGATTTATAGAGCAACAGTGTGCGGGACATAATACATGCAGGGCTTCTGGCGGGACGCCAGACACTACACAACAAGCCACACCATCCATCTGCCCTGTTCAACCGGGAAGAAAATGTAAGTAAGTGATCAGTCTCTGACAGCGGAGCAATACCGTACTACTCTTAAAGAAGTGACGTATCCCACAGGCTGTGAGACGCAATCTTAACTTAATTACAAATATGATAAAAGCAGTCCACGGTGCACTATTCATACTCTTACTTTGCCTGAATTCAGTCTGAGGCTTTAAGATAACAACACTTGTTAAGTTAACTTTGGATTGTGGAAAAGTCCTCTGACATATTGATGATACGACGTTCACTTGTACCAACTACAGCTTCTCCTGTGACTTAGCCTAATGACGGCACACATGAACCCTTCCAAGTTTCTGGACATTTATCTTTGCCTCCTATCCGCCGTATTGCATGAGTGTTCCCTCTAAGCACCAGTGTGTTAACACACATTGGTAATAACAGATAATGAACTAATCAGATGGCGAGCAATACAAAGTAAACGCGTTTCTCTTAAGGTTGAACATGTTTGTCACAAAATACCAAATTAACATTGGTAAGGGCCTCAAACATAAAAATACTACCAACAAAAACTAAGGATTCATACTTGACCCCCCTCATATTATCCATACTCATGTGAAGCTGCAGTAGAAATATACATTTTGCAGGCAGCAACTCTGCCCTGAACATTTCATTTTAGGATGTAGATTTGTGTTCGTGTTCTATTTAATAAAAACAGTTCAAAGTATTTTGGTGAATGATGCTGAACTGCTGCAAAGCTCATTGAGGAGGCTCTTCGCATGAGGAGTTCGTCACACCCACTAAAAAACACAAAAGGGCATAACTTAATGGTCAACACACCCAAAAAAAAAAAATCCCTCTTAAGACTTGGAAGCACACGAGACGGAAGAACGGTGATGTACAATATGGGTTCATATAATTAATGAATTAACAAACGGACAAAATGACAGCTTTGAATAATCAAATCAGATGCGCGGCAAAACATCATGGTTTGAAATACGACGTTATAACGTCTCCATACAACTCTGGGTCTTACGTCCCCCCCCCGCCCCAAATCCTCACTGGGCTTAATTGTCGTGGGCTGTGTAACGTCATGGGAATACAACCTTTCATTCATTTTATTGAACAATAGCCTCACATCTTAGGACGCATTGAAAAGCACTAAACCGTGGCAGACATCAGTCTCAGCAGCAGCGTTCACTTTCTGGCTGCAAAGGGGTTTTACACATTGCGTAATGTCGTTGCTAATTTCAAACGTGCTTCTTCTTCTTCTTCTTGTTCTTTGCTAGTGTTAGCTGATGTTGTGAGCATAGTTTGAATTCCTTACCACCGCGGTCTCGCAGAATAAATAGCTTGTAAATAAAAGAGAGAGCCCGGTACAAATGCCGCGTATCGACTCGGGGGTAACATTAGTTTTGTAATCCCATTGCGTCAGCCTCGCCCAAATTAAGCTAACGTTTAAATTAGCCAGCGAGTTTGATGTGTGCAGCCGAAACACCGTAAGCTAACTTGGCTAGTTGCTGTGGAACCGGCTGAGGCGAGCGGAAAGTTCACCGCGGGATTGCGAATCGTCGTTTGGTAAAATCTCAGCGACTGATAACCCAACAACTTGCACTTCTTCAACGTTTCACAAACGTACACCCCTTTAAGTTATCTGCGGTATTATCTGCGTTAAAAACGAAAATCTTCGCCGGCATTAAATCTCATTATCCAACCTACGGCGTCCGATCAAAGCCCCCTCAGTCACAGGGAGAAAAAAACTCGATTGTGCTGTCTCGATTGTAACGGTGCAGTGGCGTCTCTCTCCAGCCTCACTTCAAATTATCCCGCATGTTTTTGCTAGCTTCGACTTGGCAAACAAACTTGAAAAACCTCAAACGCTGTCGAGTTATTCAACATCAACGAGCTAAGTGTTCGTACAATAGAAAAAAACAAGCCACATTTTTCAAACGCACGTTGAGGAGAATTGATTTTTTGTTCTAGCGTCATTCCCGAGCCTCACAGCTGGACGCCTGGATTCATATACCATTGTTTTGCTTGGTTACTTGATCTTGGCATTAACGTTACGCGTTTACAAAACTGGTTTTACCGGTAAGAAACCCGGTGCTTGCGTTTTCTCAAGGTTGTTTTACGAGCTATCCCAGTCCCCCTCCTAAAGAGTCAACTTACTTGAAAAAGAAACGTACTCCAGCTCGGCTCCATTTCCACACTTACTAATTCTGTAGGAAACCTTGTAGAAGCCTACAACAAAGCAACCAAACATGGCAGCTGAAACAACTTCCGGTAACCTCGAGGGCTGAACCATTTTACATACTATTTAGGGGGGGGGGGGGTTAAATTTAGTGCGTTGAAATAGTTAGTGTAAGCGTGTATGCTGCTCATAATACATATCTAAATATTTAAAGACTATTAATTGAAAAATGTTTCGGATAATGTATCTGCGAGACATTATCTGAGTGGTCCCTCTTCTATCACAGAACTAACTTGATGTAGCTGGATTTCTGAACACCCCTCTGGACGGGTTTTCGGTGATTCCGCGAGGGGCATTTTTTTTACCATGATTTGTCGACCACTGTCGCATGTGGTTTGGATAAGAATGTGTTTCGGTAACACCACAGTCGTTTTTACCAGAAAATAATTTGTGAAGCGATTCGCTGTGCATTACAAACATTTGGTCTTACTTCTTCGCCATTATGAGAGGTTTTCCAGTTTAAACGGAGCAAGAAATATTCCTCGTGCGCAGCAGTTATTTTCATTCATGGGATGGGGTGAATGAACATAACAGTGCCCATATATTGGTTGAATTGCCTCCCAGTGGACCAAAGTAAAACATATTCTGGTCACTCATTGACAGCAAATACGCCACCTATATTCAATAAACTACTTTTATTTCTAAAATATTTGCCATGTTTATAAAAGTATTTTCATTTGTGTGATGGATGAGTCGTTTCTGATGTTTTTATGCTATTTGTATTGATGTTATTGCCACACAATATATTTGGCTTATGTGCTAAGGCTGCTGATTTGTTAAAAGTAAAAGTAGAGTGTGTAGAAAATGGGAATTGACACTTTCTGTGTGTCTCAAACCATATCAGCATTCATTTTACAAATGGAGTAGATGTGTGCATTTATTTGTCAGTCTTCTTTCAACCAAATGCAAATTTGTCCTTCACTTTTCTTGTAAAATGCATCATCAAACTGTATGACCAATGATTACTCAACCCTCGGAACTGCTGTGAGCACACTAGAGATGATTCATAGCTGCATTGTACCATCCTGATGTTTTTGCACCCATCTCAAAGATGTTTCACACATTGGACTTGAATTTAGTCATTTGATAGAAGGGAACATGTGATAGATTACTGTTAAATAACTCGCTGTTGGAGTTACTCGATACAGGTATACAATATGAGGAATACAGGACATCTGTCTGTTTGTGCTCAAATGACACCTTCAACCTTGTAGACAGCCAAGAGAAAAGTACAGAGCCTCTGAGGTTATAAGAAAAGTACGCAAAGAGCTTCATGAACGGCTTTAGCTAGGATAAATAAGACACATACGATTGTATGTCCGGCTAACCTGTAGGCCCACGTAAGATACAACTCCCCTTGTCATTTTCTTATTCCATATTTCCTGTAAAATATCTTAATTAACAAAAAAAGAACCCTCCTAAAAATAAAAGCCCATGTGGATACAATAAGTAGGTTCAACACAGTAAAGTGTGCTGTAAAACTAAGTACCTGGGTGTCTCCGAAGCAACAGGGCTCAGATTGCTTGGCAGCGCCAGACAATGTACAATGCACACTTGGGCAAGAATGCCAAACAAAGTTAAATTTGCATTGTGACAGGAGGACCAGTGTATCATAGGTAAAACATATGTTAAAACTGTAGGCCCATATTAAATTCAGTAAAGCACACCTCAATAGGAGTTGAATTATTCTCCTAATTTAAATGCAGCCAAAGAAAAAAACAAACCGCGAACTATGAATGAAAATAAAATCGGAGAATTAGGAAAAAAATGGTTGAATTTACCCTTGTGCTTCTATTTGTGAGTACGATTTGAGGTATATTCTTTGCTTCACTACAGCCAAAAGTTGATAAAAATGAAAAAGTTCCTGACATTTCATAAAACTTGTGTCATAAGTGAGGTGAGAATTGATACAAAGCGATTCTTCACCCTTCCACTAAGAAATGAGACTTGTATTTCAGCCCTAAAATGAAAGTGGTCACAGGTCCGTGCTTGAAACGGTATTGTGCGCACTCTTTCCAGTAGGTTCTTTGAACTCTGCTCGTCCGTGAATGGCTGTTCAGTAAAGGTGCCCCCATTGTACATTTCAATCTTTGTCCCACTGTACATTGAAAGCCTTTATACAGTGCAACGAATGTTTCAGTTAGAGTTAGGGAATATGTGTGGTCAGCCCATTCTCCCCTCATCCAGCTCAAAAGACACGTTAACGTCCAGCAACGAGCTCCACTTGAAAATACAGTTATGCAGATTGCTTCCTCTGATATTTTTCCAACTTTGGACAAGGAAAAGGCAGATTCTCCAAAGGTAAGCTCCTCAAACACAGGATAACAAAAGGAATATCATGGAAGTTTATTATTTTTTAACTTGTTTTTTTCTTTTTAGGAGCAGGTAATATATTATTTTGATAATTAATTTGTAAAAACACAAACTTCTCTTCCAGGAAACTGTGTCTCATGGAATGTAACTAAGCTGATGGTAATTTAGAGCTTAATGCAACATCTGCTCTAATTTAAAGTCATATAAAATGCATGTGATTTGATGTGATGTGAAAGAATTCTTTATTACAACTCAAGCAATTTACCCTTTTGAAGAAATTCATAGTGGAAAAATGACACTGAAGGTTAAGCAACATGCCAGATTGTAACACTTGCGTACCAACATGCGGCGATGACACACTAAGAAAACTATTTCATGATATTTACTGCATATTTATAGAGGAATTTTAGGTTAATATTTAAAGTTAGATAATATTTGAAAGTCACACATGTGCAAATACATCAGGTTTCAAGCATCTGCTTCCTTGGTAAGATTGAGTCACACTGTATTTAAGGCATTTTTTCTCTCCCTAGGAGTGCAGATCAACAACCTCAGATTCATTATGCTTCTGTTATTTTGTTCATTCTGCTTGGCTGCTGTAAATTGCATTACTACTGTGTTCACAGAAATGGGAGACTGGTCCATTCTTGGCCGCTTCCTAACGGAAGTCCAGAACCATTCCACAGTCATCGGCAAGATATGGCTGACAATGCTGCTCATCTTCCGCATCTTGCTCGTGGCCCTGGTGGGGGACGCCGTCTACAGCGACGAGCAGTCCAAGTTCACCTGCAACACCCTGCAGCCCGGATGCAACAACGTCTGCTACGACACCTTTGCCCCCGTCTCACACTTGCGCTTCTGGGTCTTTCAGATTGTTCTAGTCTCCACACCCTCCATCTTCTACATTGTCTACGTCTTGCAAAAAATCACCAAGAATGAAAAGCTAGAGGATAGGGAGGCTGAAGTGGTGCCCAGGTCCTCACCTTCACTTGAAGGGGACAAACACGTGGGAGGAGATCAAGAGACCACACTGGAGGCCGGCAGTCCTTACAACACAAGCTACAACAACGAGGACTGGAGCTCACGGGAAGGTGAGTGTGAGGAGAAGAGCCAGCTGGAGGAGGATGCCAGAGAGGTAGGAAAGGACCCAACCCAGCTCTCCAGCCAAGTGCTACTTATCTACATCATACACGTTTTGCTGCGCTCCATCATGGAGATAATCTTCCTCATTGGACAGTACTACCTTTTTGGATTTGAAGTCCCACACCTTTTCCGCTGTGATACCTACCCCTGTCCAAACAGGACCGACTGCTTCGTGTCTCGAGCAACAGAGAAGACCATCTTTCTCAACTTCATGTTCAGTGTCAGTCTCGGCTGCTTCATCTTGAACATTGTGGAGCTGCATTATCTAGGCTGGATTTACATTTTCAGGGTATTGTTCTCTGCATGCTGTACGTGCTGTGATTCAGGGAGAAACCCTGGGCAGCGGGTGGACTTGTACCCTGACAACAACCCACTGTTGCTTGAGCTCAAACACTCGCTTCGTGGCAGGGTCGTCCTGCAGACCACCTCTTCCGTGTCACGGGACAAGAGCAGCGGCGTCCCAAACCAAGGCCCGGCCATCTCCTTTGAGACGGACTCCACACTTGAGTGCACCTCGAAGAGAAATCCGGATGAAAAGGAACGCAGCAAGACTAGACTGCACAATGTGGCCAAAACAGGAAGAGGGAAAAAGTCATGGCTGTAAATGATTTCAAACCATATTTTTTTCTTTTTGTGTTTGTGTGATTGAAATCTCTTCAGGATGGTTCAGTTTAAGTCATTTATGAAGTTCGTGATTATCCAAAGGATTCAGACAATTTCAGGGAGAAACTGTGATAGAGTCAGTTTGTTTGTTTTGTTTCTAGCCACAGGAAATCTCCCCAGCGCAAGAGAACTTAACATGAATAATCTGGAATTTTGGAATGATTTGGAGATGTTGCAATGTGATTGATATTCTGAGTTTAGGGGCACTGTAGAGGGAAGCACTGATATGAATGTAGTGCAGATTTTTATGAAAATGTTTCTTTAAATACAGTCAAATCAAGGTATTTGCTGTGATTTATTCATACCTCCACCTACCCCCACACATACACTACCCTTGTTGAAGAAACAAGGGTCCACAAACGATCCTTTACAGACAGATGACCAGTTTGAACATCAGAAACTACAAACTGTTAAGCAGCACTTCAGAAGGGCTCTGAACCGGTTTAGAAGTCTATATTGATCGAAAAAATCAGCAAAGTTACTGGACTGTAACCTGTACAGTAGGTTACCTGTGCAATAGAGTGTGACAAAAGGCTAGATTTTCCTTGACTCAATATAATATAATATAATATAATAAGTATTTACCTGTGCCTTTATTATATTACCTGCACATTCATTGTTCCAGTGAGTAAAACAACCAGGAGGGGTCACTGCTGTCCGGTTTACACTGGTGCTGCCTTTAAGTTCTGTTGGAATTCCTAAATTTTGAGAGCAGTTGAAATATTGACGACCAAACGAGATTATAGAGGGCTACATTCGACCATTATTTGGCACAATTATTCCCCGTGTAACATATAGAAATGGACTGCATGAAAGCAGAATAAAACGTGATGACAGTATGCATTGGATAATAATTTACGTGGCGTTGTGGTGTTCTATGCA